TTTGGTAAAAAGACACCTCTTCACCTCAGACCTGGGGCTGCCCAATTGGACAGAGGCCAAGAGATCCCACCTAGGTAATTCACTAGAAAAAGAAGAGAACAAAGACAATAATCACTTTTGTGGGGTGTTTTAGCAGAAGCAAAGACCTCTTGCCTGGCTTGGTTTTTTCTCTGTAAGGTCTTTGTTATTTTGCCTTTTATTAAACCTTTTCTGTTTCCAATACTACCTCAGAAGCCATCCTGCTAATTTTATGCCATTCTGGGTGGCTGAGCTATCTTGGGTGTGATGGGTTCTCGGACAGCTCATAAGACCTGGCTCAAAGAGTAATATATCAATTAAGAAACATTAGGTGTTTAATTATAAAAATATTGTGTAGATGAACACCATATTCAGCCATGACATAAACATGTCAAGGGCAATTGCAGGACAATGGAAAATGTAACAGAAATCTGGTGTATCTGCTTTGCATTAAGTCATACATTTCCCTTCTCTACTTGTATTTTTTATTTTTCATTGATAGCCTCAACAAAGAAACAAATGAAAACCCACTAAAATAAACAAAACATCCAAAAAACCCTAAACACAAACACTCCAATAGCAAAAATGAAAATGCACAGTTTCCAGGAGGACAGCTTTTGTTAACCATCCGCATAAGTGGATGCATTGATGTTCTAAGCAAATGAACCCAGATGTCTGGAGAAGTTCTGAATCTATTTCTTGCTTTGAACATGTATATCTTACAAAAAGAGGTAAGAAGAGGAGAGAAAGGTAAAAATTAATATTATATGAAAGCTTTTCACATTGTGGAGAAAGTTTTTGCCCATCATAAACAGGGAATTTTTCCCTTCCACAAATTAGTTTCACTTTTATTCCCAAACTGACCCTCAGTTTAGAACACTGATATTTTTTAAATCAAAAACTTAAGCAGTATGTATCATTTCCCTTGCAACTCTGTAACTGGAAGAAATTACAATCCTGGAATAACAGCATGATACCACAACACTATAAAATTCTAATCAGTAACATAATTATGCAATAATGAGGCTGTTAGGTTGTGGGTTTGCCTTCCAATACATTTATTGGAAGAGTCATCACTTTGCTGGATGATGTAATAGAGTAAGTCTGTATTAGTCAATGAGGAGAATTAGGGCTCCAAAGTCTCTATCAAATAAAAACAGAGTCTGTATGAGAAAAATTGTGGAAATATTCCAGTATGTGGTCTTGAAGAGTTCCACAATGGCATGAGGAGAAAAGTTGCCCTTTCTAAAATTTTTAGAATAGATGCAGCTCATACACAAGCTTTGAGTACAGTACAGTGTCTAAGCTCCATGGAAGAGATGAGATGGCAAGGTTTTACACATGGTTGAAGGCTCAGAGATTCCTTATACCAGCAGCAATGCTTTCATTCCATCATTTGCACTGCTTGAACTACACAAGTCTAGTTAGGCTCTTCAGAATGGATGGAAAAAAGTGACATAATGTCTTCTCTTTTGTCAGTACATTGATAAAAGATTATAGACAATCTTCCCTTGTTTCACAGATCCCTCCCCTCTGTTGCAAGACAGTGCCTGTTTGTGAATGCAAACCTTCTGCAAAGTTCTGTCTATGCTTTGACCAGGGCTGAAGAAGGGGCAGTTCTTCACATCTAGCCTTGGGGGTGGAGTGGCAGGGCAGCAAGCCAGCATTCAGTCCCCTGGCAAAGAGCTTGCTACGCTTTTATGTGTTACTTCTGTATACAAAGAGACTTAAATTAGCTGTCTGCTGTTAGAGAAAAAAGAGCCTTTATAAGTTTCAAAATGGCCTACAAATAATGCTTCAGTTCCTTCACTGATGTGTGGGACTCTCCCTCCCATGTAATATACATCAGCTATTGTGAAATTCCAGAGAGCTGTATCTGCTTTCTGGATGGAGCAGCCCTATTTTTTGAGGGGTATTTATAAAACTAGCCAATTTATAGGCTACTAGCCAATGTACAGACCACTTGGGTTCATCACAAGAAACAAGGTGTCTTTCAAAGACAAATCAGAATGAACTCTGTGGGTGCTGTATTACTTTCAAGCTACATAAAGTGAAGAAAAGGACTATGAAACCATAGCTGCACAAGTTATCACTGGAGCAGTAGTGCTGACATAAAATTGACTGCATGCATACAGACTGAGGGAGGTTAAATTTATACCTGTTTGATAAAGAACAAGGCTCTGAAATACTGCAGGCAGGACATCTCCAATAAATGTACAGGGAGAATGAAGAGTTAGGGCATAGCTAATATAGGCGAGGCAGACACATAACAATACTAGACTGATTTTCCCTAGCAAAGTGGTTTTACCTGGAAAGAAAATTAAGATTTCTAAAGATTAAAGTTTTATAAGACTTTATTTTAAAAAGTGTCCTTAGGTAAACAGGTCAAAAATCAGATGCATTCAAGATACTAGATACACAGTTTACATTAATAACTTAAAGAGAGAATTTTATAATTTTTTATACTTAAGGACTGGATGTCTTTGCAATTCTTGACTATTTTTCTTTTAAAAGATATACTTTTGTACTTTTCTAAAAGCACAACAGAATCCCTTGATATGGTAAGTGCTACTTACACTGAATGCTATTCTCCACAATGAAACAGGGAGGAAATGAAACAGTAATATGTCTAGATAATTGGTTACCAGGTTACAGAATCCTCACTGGTAACTTAAAAAGCAGATAAACAGCAAAGCTGATATGCAAAACAAAGCAATTTTGTTCAAGGGTGATCTGAACTGAGACAAAAGTAGTCACATCTTAATGGCAGAACTTAAGACTACAGAGTTCATGACACAAAAGGCCTCACGCTGTTGAAAATTTCTGAAGAAGACAGTATGTTTCCTGACTTTTGCCAAAATAAATACCATGTAAGCATTTAAAAGAAGAGCTGGGCTGCAAGGGGAAGTACTAAAAATTGAGGCTGTTAAGAACTCTTGCAAAGTGCACACTCTTAAGAGTCACCTTTATGGCATGTGCATGAAAGCATTCTCAACCACAGGAACAGCTGCATCTGTTCCCTTCAGATTCTTGGCCTCTTCAACACACAAAACATAACCCTTTCACTCAAGGCATGAATTAGGGATTGGTAGCAGAAATAAGAGGCACTTCTTGCAAAAGTAATCAGAAGACATAGAAGCAAGTAGATATAGTGGATGCTTACTGTAGATACAGGCAATAACTATAGTAGAAGTGAAGGGAAAAGAGAAAATTTAAAAAGATATAAAGTATGATTCTGACTCACCTCTGACAACAGAAGTTTCTGTGCTCTGATGGGAAAATCACCCAATTAACATTGCTAAGAGATGCTTGCAAACAGGTGTCTTTACTACGTTTTCTAGCTGACCTACCTCATACCTCATTTTAACCTTTAACTAATTAGCAACCAACATCTTTAATGTCAAAGTACATTATGTTTACAGCTAAAACCAAAGCTGCATGGAGATGAGCATGTAACCTGCAGCATTCAGTACACCTTGAGCTTCATTTTAAAACAGGCACTCAAAGGAAGAATTGCCTCCTTTTCTAATTGTTGGAATAATTATATTCAGTGTTTCATTAACTGAGCATATAAAACCAGCCTTTGAGAGATGACATTATTTAAAATTAAGCAGGAGAATCGAAATAGAAAAACACTTTGAAAGCCAAATATTTTTCCAGGGTAAGTCTTAGCTCTTAGCAACATTAATAGAAACCATTTAGCAACAAAGTGTTCAGTACATCAACCTATAATTGATTTGATGAAGTTGTCCCTAGGAGGATATCTGCCACTAATTATATAGAAGTAGGGAGAACCATAAAGAGGTGTCTTGAACTGGGTAGAAGATTTTTCTAAAGCTAAAGATATTTTTATTCTGTGCTGACGTTATTTGTTTTTGACTATTATTAAGTGAGGCAAATTGAACATAAAGGGTTTTTTAAGTTAAAACTTAAAACTAACTAGTATTGCATCAAAACCCATCATCACATTTATTGAAAAGTCTACTGTCAAGATGCTGCTGGAGAATACAGTCATAGTCTAAGCAGTAAAACTACACATAATATACATGAATTTTCACGTGAACATCATGTAATGCATAAAATGAATGCCTGTGTTTTTTATTCAGGTTTTAAATACGTTAGCTGGCTTCCTGCCATGTCCAGCACTTTCTGATGCAGTCCAGAAATTCTTTTTTCCTTTAATCCTATTTTTCAAATAATTTTGCACAAAAAAGGTGACAGGTAACAGTAGCTTAGCTGCTATTTCTAGTAGCAAAGAGTTAAGGCCTTGAAAATCATCCTTTATTATAAAAAATCACAGCTAGATCATAATAAATCTTTAAATATGTAATCATCCACTACCAACTACTTTCTCATGGTTGCGCATTTTACAAACTGTATCATGGCAAAAAAAAACCCCTCCAGAACATCAATTCCTCTGGTAAAGGATCTCCTTGACTTAAGCATAGCTACTGTCAAGCTCTACTGTCAGCTTCATTTGCCTGGAAAGATGGCAACACGGATATCGCCCATCTTTCCTGAGATGGAGACAAAACCTGCTTAAAATCACAAAGAACTCAAGTCTCCTGATATAGTATTTTGATGTCATCAAATATCAGCAGAAAGACTGAGGAACATTGTAACCATGCAAACACAGAGTGAGAATGAGAGCAGGATGGCCTCAAACACTGAGATGCATTTCATCTTATTTCCATGACACAGCTGCCTAATTGCTTCACACTAAATTGGCACAATGAATGTGAGCATGGGACTCCCTGTTGGCAGTTAAAATCTGGAAGGTATTAAATATTTCTTGGATAATTCTTCGTTACTCACTTGTTTTTGGTGTGATTAAAACAGGACTGCTAAGATCTGTTTCTCTGACTCACATGTGTAAATTCCCTTTTTATATGTCCTACTTATATACCACTGTTGTGTTAGTTGCCTTCATACACAGTTCCACAGTTCATTTTCACATTCCTTAGGAAACAGGGGTACCTTACCAGAAATGGTTCTGTACAGCTCAGATGGGCTGCTGACCTTTTGGCTGGAGGGAATCTGCTGATAGCATGGTGAAGCTGCTGTCACTAGGAGAGAAGGAAAAGGGCAGTTCCTCTTCAATAACAGCTAAAATGTCAATAGTGCTATTTAAATAAATAAATAAATAGAGACATTTTCTTACCATATGTCACCTCTGGTGACAGGGGAAAAGCTGATGTGAATGTGACAGTTTCATTTCCATTTTTTATTGTGGAGAAGATTTCCCCATCTATTTCATCTTGGTAATGTACAACAATCATCTAAGAGAAGACACAAAAAAGCAAAATTACAGTGTGATAGTTCTCATTTAACCCTATGACACAGTGGGGCATTCTTCATCAAATTACAAAAGGTTTCTGTAATCAGATATAATGTAATCTAGTGTTCCAGCAGAGAGATCTTGGAACACTGAAAACATGCAAACACAAGAGACATCCAAAACATGCAAAGACAAGAGCATCCTTAAACACTGAATTGCATTACTGAGGTGAATTCAGTTATTTGTTCTTATTGCCATGATGCAACTGCCCAATTGCTTCACAATAATTTTGGACACGGAACATAAGACTTCCTACTGGCCACTCACTTCAGTATTTAGTGAAAAATTCCTGTTTACCTCCTTGGTTTTTTCTCCAGCAACCGGCGATCTTGGAATTACGGCCTGGTAACTAGCAGCAGACTTCATCCATCCACACTTGTTATAGGATGATTCCCCAGGAACATCATTGTCATACTGCCCAACACTTAACTTTCTGAGCCTTTTCCCTGTTGCATCATCATCTTGCATACTTGTTGCTGAAAACAGGCAAGCTGATTAAGAAACTAATTTTTTTCCAGTTAGAACTGTTAAAAACAAACTTCACTATTCTCTCTGTAGTGATTATAATCAAGAATGTTCAAACTATATTACAAAACCACATAGGTGGGGAAAAGACACCAGTTGTAGTTTCTTTGCTGACACCAGTTGGAAAATATTCACAGTGCCCTTTGTTCTAGAGTAAGTTTCTCCTGATGCTCATTTTTGAAGCGATCACCCCGAGTGCAATTGGAAGAGCAAGCCAGCAGGGGCCGCTACGGGCACTCCAATGAGAAGCCTCTCTTGCCATTTCTGCCGCAGTGGCTCTTGGCAGAAAAACCATTGCTGCGGTCCAGGGCTGCGTTCCCCCCACTCCCACCTTTCCCCTCCCAAAAGTAGATTATTTTTAGCTAAAACAGATCCTGGCCCTTATAAACTCAGTTCACTGTACACCTTTTGTGACACACATAGCAGTCATACTTAATCACAAAAATTAGGTATTAGCTACACACAGAAGCTGTAATCCTTTTGAGGAACAGCACAGAAGAGTAACCTTAACCAGCAGAACGATGCAGGATATTCAAGGATATAAAGCACTATTTTTTTCCAAAGACATTATTAAGAGCATGTCACCAGATGCAGAGCTATGATTAGCAGGATTTTATACATGGTCATCCACTCCAAACAGCAGGTACTTCCAGATTACTCCTGCAACAATTGCTTTTTCTACCCTTCTCAAATCAACAATAAGGATCCGTAGAACATACTGAGTAGTCACAAAAACAACCACATGCATAGCAACTTTTCAAATACTCCTCTGAGAACTTCTATCGTCTATATATATATGCAAAAGATCTTTGAGGATTAGCTATTTCTCTTAAGAGTTGAGTATTTCTACAAGAAGTTACTTTAATTGCTTGGTATCATTTAAACCTTTACAGTAATTTCCAACTGTGTGTGTTGTTGAAGCACATCTCCTATGGACCCTGATCATGGAGCCAAAACACTAGGAGTCCAAAGTGTGTCCTTCATCTAAACCAGCAGGAGGGCTTAATCAGCAGCTTGGGTAGAGAAAAATGATAGCATACACCTTACATGCACATTGATTTCCTAATCGGAAGTAGCTGATAGAAGCTGAGGTATAAAATCTGGCATGCAGCATAAGTCTGTGTTATAGACATTCCACCTTGATTACACTACACAATTATAAAGCATTAATGCACAAATACATTTCTGTATAGTGGAACAGTTTTTATTCAAGCTTGAAACAGAGACAGGGATTTTAGACTAAAATCCACGATACTTAACTGATTCTGCATTGACATATGTATGTATCAACCTAAGTAACTTGCTGGCAAGTAGTGGTTTATTCCAAAAATCTTAATAAATCTCTTGTTAAACTACAGAATTAGACACTTCAAAAAATCCATCTCTGCTAGCATCCAAGCCAGTGTTATAATAACTACTATTGAAGCAAATAAATAAATACATAAAACCTTGTTAGTAATTTTTGAATATTCCACCAATATTTTGAATATTCCACTAAGATGGTCCAAATACAGCCAGTTATTAATTTTATCAAGTCAGTATTTATAAACCTAGCACATTTTGAAAAAAACACAACTGAGATTCTGTTTTTATGGTTGCTGCAACCTGGACAAATCAAAAACTTTCAAGCATCCATATTTAACTCTTTCTCCCGACAACTTGAATCTTTATGTGTGGTCTCTCATTTATGGAAAGAGTATGTGCTAAAGACTCTGTAAGCAAACTAGATGCATCACTCAAGATTTTCGAAGCCATAAAAGGACATGAAATCACAAATATCTCCTAAACCTCTTACATGATACTAAACAGTCACGGTGAATTCTACTGAAATTGGAGACATTTAAGAATGTAGACTGAGTTAATACTATTCCAGCATTTACCAACATTTACATTGGATTTCCTTTTTTATTTGTAATGTCTGTAAAGAAAAATGAGTGGGAATCACTGGAGAATCTCAGATGATCTGAGACCAGACACTCCCAGTCCCACAATTTCTCCACAGGAGGCAGTAGGAGCCAGGAACAGCACATAAGAGTTTCACTCCATCTGTAACCAAGTTACAAAGGCATAGACAATTTATTTCAGAATATTTCTCTTAGTTAACATAGCCCTGTAGACTACTTTATGATGAAGAATATCTATCTTTTGGATGGGTCAAAAAAGATATTTGAAATTTAACACAAGTTTTGCTTGTCATACTAATGAGTGGATTGCATTATCAATAATATTGATACACTCAGGAAGCTTGTAATTTCTACAAAGTTAGTGTAGTCCTCAGAAAGCTACACACAGGTCTCTCTGGGAAAATGGATATTTTCTAAAAATAGACTGAAAGTGCTTTACATATCAAATTACCATTAGATGCTGGACAACAGAGAGGAGAAGTTGAGCTGATATATTTCAGTAAAGCTTAAAGCAAATAAATCTAAGAGATTAAGTGAAGGAGTGAGCAAAAAATTACTTCTACTTAGGTCATTAGTTTCAAAACTTTACTTCATAATATTTAGACTTATATTTTAATAATTTAATATTTTAATATTTTAGACGTATTAATTTGAAAGGAATCTTTTACAGTGTAAGGTGTCAGTTGCCAAGACTTCCTAGAAGTTACAAAATTAATTTCTGCTCTTATCATTTAGCTGAAAGTTTTGGCAGAGCTTCATAAATATCCCAGGAGCACATATTTATTTATCTGAAAGCATTTCATATACTGTCCTTTCTCTCTTTTCCCATGTGAAATGTAATTTTTCCCTACAAAATAATTTTATTTTCCCCGATGAACAAATAATAACATTCCAACAGACTGGCATTAGAACAACATCAGGCACTTCATCAGATGGTTATCACCATGCAAAAACTACAGCTAAGAGAAGCATAGCCAGTGGTTAAAGGTTAATCTTTGGTTTCTTTAGCTGCTTAGCTTTCCTCAACTACTGTTAAGAAGTATTTATAACTATTGGAAAGTAAACAACACTAAACTTAAAATCTTGTCTCCAGTGGCTTGTCAATAACAGTGCTGTATCTCATTTATTAGCAAATTATCCAACTGGTTGCAAATATAATTGCTTGTGATGGCATTGAAATATAAATGTCTGAACTTGTAAAACTGATTTTAACCACTTGAATTTCAATCATCAATACCTGAGCAACAGTTAAGATAATTTTCTCTGGATATAGCTTAAGCAGTGTTAACTATATTATTTCACACTTATTATTTCTCACTTACCTAACTTCATTTATTGTCTAGCAGGATTTTTAGAATCTGCAATTCATTTCAATTCTAATGCTTTCACAAGAGGAAACAGGTAACATTTATACATTCAAGAAAATCTGACAAACTTTTAAGTGGTTTAAGAAAATGAAATATTTTTTGAAGAAACAAAAGGAAAACTTACTAGGATGTATGCTAAATCAACCAATCAATACAACTTAACAGACTTTGCAGACAGACAAGCTGGAATTCATTGCTTGTGTACACAGAGAGGAAAAGATAAAGTGCTTGCACTTCAAGTGAGCTTCTTACCACAGTTCCAACTGGTGTGGAAAGCTAGCATAACATAAGAAGCTCTACCAGTTCTACCCACAGAGCAATAAAATGCAGGGCTCTATTGTGAAAGGAACAGTGAAAATTTCCACAAATCTGGTTTTCCAGTGTCCCTTTCACAGACCTCAGCAGAAGTCATGAAGGCTGAAATAACACTCTGGGGAGACCTGTGTTATCATTGCAGAAATTTCAGAAGTCAATGACTACACAGCAGTTTAAAAGACTTATCAATTATTGTGAAACACGGGGATACAATGCAACATGAGCCTTAAGAATGCAACAAGGAAAAAAAGTCTGTAAGTTAACTTGTAACAGAGGAGCCTTCAGCGACTATCCCACATACTAACAACACTATCCAAACCGAAAGTGATCTCCTCCTTTGCCACCGTTTATCTTCTACAAAGTTTAAGATTTTTAAAGAAGGCATGTAATGATCAAGCTTTCAAAACAGAATTATGCTTAAACCATAGCAAATTTACTTTTAAGAATTTATAATCATAATTACATACTGAAAGAAAAAGTATCTTCAAAGACAGCAAGACAAAACTTGAACTAAATATTGCTGTGGTGGAAAAAGGATAATCAAATATATAGCCAGTTGAAATACAAAATCTCTGAATAGAATATTCTGAGTTGAAAGAGACCCAACAGGATCACTGAGTCCAAATCTTAAATGAAGTACGAGGATTGAATCCATTACCTTGGTGTATTTGTGATGCAAGTACTAAACAAGGATCTTGATATGCTCAAGCTTTCAGATTCCCAGATCTTTAGGAACACTGTTTCAAAAGCATTAACTAGAACAAAAGCCAACTATGCTGTGCCTGTGATACATTCAATGCCTTAACATATCTAAAATGTAACACAAAGTGCTGCTGAAGTCAGAAAATCCCTTTATTCTTGAAAAAAGACCCAATAATTAGCAATTACTAACAAGCAGACTATTCTTTTTAACCCCAGTTTCTAGCAACTAGTAGACTAGAAGTGTGAATTCCTTATAATCAATTAATCTAACAAGCAAATGAAAAGGTCTAAACTCTACCCCGAATTCAAGCAGATCATCAAGCACAGGACACAGCAGCTTTGCAGATCTGTCACTTTAGTTTCATAGCCCATTTACATTATGCTAAGAATGGAGAGCAAGCCCAGTGCAAAATACAAACTAGTATCTCCAAACCCATAGAGAGAGTTCATAATGATGGTACACTCAGGCCCACATGCTGAAAATTACAAGACTTAAAAATTTGTGGTGTACGTACATGACATAAATTAAGTTATTGTGCTGCTAAATGTAACTAAAATTCAATTTTTAACTGTAGCTTAAAAAGCCATTTAATTTAGTTTAAAAATTTACTCTAGTTCAGTTATAACTTAAAACTTCAATTTTTACCTTTAATTTACCTAAAA